CAGAGGTTAAGTTCTTAGTTTTGTAGACTAAGCATATGGAAACATAGAGTTGGTTAGTGGCTGAGGCACTGAAGTCCATGTGTCAGGTGAGCGTGGCTAGGAAACCAGGGAAAATTCAGCATGTCAGGTCCTTGAACACAACCTAGGTGAAGGGTCAGAATGGAAAATAAGCAACACGGGAGGATTCAACATGTGAGAGTGGATCGCCTTGAGGCAGCGTAATTCAGAGGCTGCTGTGGCACCTACCTGCAGGAGCTGTTAAGGTTAATGCACTGGTTCAAAGGTTATATTTGGTTATATTTATATTCTGAACTAGATTGTAAATTCCTTTCGAGTAGATAGTACAGAATGAGTATTTGGCCATGACTGTAAAACAGTCTACTTACCTATCCCACTTTTTCTTTCCTTCTGTATTGATTGAGTGCCTGCAATGTGCTATGCCCAGTGAGATTGGTTTTCTATAATACCCCATAGAAGTCTCATCATTTAAATTTCTAAAAACTTTAATACTCTTAATAATTCACACACAGTAAAGTGCACATTTTAAGCATGTAGATTGATGAGTTCTAACAAATATGTATATCCATGTAATTACCACCCCATAGAACATTTCTGTCCTCTCAGAAGGTTATCATCCCTGTTCCAGCCTCCCTTTTCCCACTGGAGATAACCATTCTTCTGATTTCTATTATCATAAATAGTTTTGCCTGTATTTCAACTTCATTATGTGGAAACATATAATTTATATGTTTTGGGTCTGAATTATTTTGCACAACAAATTTTTGTGATTCATCCATGCTACTACATATATCAATAGTTTGTTCCATTTTATTGCCGAGTAGTATTCCATTGTGTGAATATACCACAATTTATCCATTCACCTGGTGATGGATATTTGGGTTGTTCCTCGTTTTGGGCTGTTATAAATAATGATGCTATGAATATTGGTATTTAGGTCTTTAGTGGACATATGCTTTTATTTTTCTTAGAATCCCTGGATCATATGGTTACTGAATGTTTAACATTATGAGAAACTACTGAAGTTTTTAACCCTTTACTCCAGCAATATATGAGAGTCCCAATTATTACACATCCTAGGCACTCAGTGTGTGTGAACTGGTGGCTTGTGTAGGGGTTTTTTATTTATTTTTTTAATTTTAGAACACATCTTTTTTGTTTTTAATATATCTTTATTGATTTTAGAGAGAGGAAAGGAGAGAGAGAGAGAGAGAGAGAGATAGAAACATCAGTGATGAGAGAGAGTCATTGATCGGCTGCCTCCTGCACACCCCCGACTGGGAATCGAGCCCGCAACCCAGGCATGTGCCCTGACCGGGAATCGAACCCCAATCTCCTGGATCCTAGGTTGACGCTCAGCCGCTGAACCACGCCCGGCTGGGCTAGAACACATCTTTATTTTTATAATACATTGCTAAATTTTTCTCTAATGGGGTTATACCATGAAGTGATTGTTTTAGTTTTATTATAAATCGTATATATCAAGAATAAGCATTTCCTTTTTAAAAGGCATTATGTAAAGTTTAATACCATAGGATTTGGGAGAAATTTATTGGGGAGAGATGAAACATCTTGCTCAGTTCCTGGCATATAGATTAAATAAAGGTTACATTATTATTATTTTCACTGTTGGGTTACTTATCTTTATATTGCTGTAAATGTTTATTCTATTTTCCTTTACAGTTCATGTGAATTCTCCCATGATCCACTTAAGGTAGTTTCTTTCAATCTTTGAAATTTCTTTCTTTCCTAGAGTTCTATTTTGCCCCACTTAACAGAGTCATTGCATATATTTTGATCTTCAATTTTGATCATCCAAGGGTGTTATATACTGAAATAGGTTGGGAAGTTTATATAATTTGATTAATATATTTATACATTTGTGACATTCTTATTAAAGATTTGATCCTAAACAAAATGGTGAAGCAGAACCAAAATTTACTTTATTGTTCCTATATAGTTTTATGAACATAGCATGTGCTTTAAAAAAATTAGTTTTTAATAGCTAATACCAAAATATTTACCTTTTCTATTAGGTGTAAGAACAGTCAGTGCTGATAGAATGATCAAAGCAAGACCTTTAGTCTAGATTCTTAAATTTGTCACTATCAGTGAGGTGGGTCAGTATTTGTCTCAAATAAATCTAATTAATTTGTTGCCATTACTTTTTTTTATAATTTCCCTTTCTCTCATTGCCATTTTTCTCTGGGATCCTTAATTAGTCTTGAGGGAGTCAACTACTGGCTTCTCTCTTCCAATGAGAAATACATAGTTACATGGAATCTCTTTCAGTCACTAGCCCTTCCTCTTTTTCATCATGGACATCAACACAGCCTTCTCCCCACCAACAATACATGTTTTGAAATAACATGAAGTTTTTAAAAAAATTGATGTGAAATTTACATAACATAAAATTCACCATTTTAACCATTTTGAAGTATACAATTCAGTGATTTCCAGTGTATCCACAATGTTGTACAAATATCACCGCTCTAATTCTAGAACATCAACACCTCAAAAAGACACCTGGTACCCATTAAGCAGCCGTCCCTCATTTTCCTGCAACACCTGGCAACCACTAATCTTTCTGCCTCGATGGATTTGCCAATGATGGACATTTCCTATAAAGGGAATTATAAAATATGGGGGATTTTTGGTGCCTGGCTTCTTTCATTTAATGTAATATTTTCAAAGTTCATCCATGTTGTAGCATGTATCAGTGCTTCATTATTTTTTATGACTGAATAATATTGTCTTGTAGCAATACACCACATTTTGTTTATCCATTCATTAGTTGAACATATAGGTATATTTTTGGTTTTGGGGGTTATATGCTGGATCATATAATGATTCTGTGTTTAACATTTTGAGAAACTACCAAACTGTTTTCCATAGTGGCTGCATTATTTTTCATTCCCACCAGCAATGTAAAAGGTTTCCCATTTCTCCACATCCTCACTAACACTATTATCCTTATTTATTTTTTTTAATTAAAGCCTTCCTACAGGGTTTGTAAAGTGGTATCTCATTGTGGTTTTGATTTGCATGTCCCTAGTGATTAGTGATGTTGAGCATCTTTTCATGTGCTTATTGGTCTTGGTATATCTTCTTTGCATAAATGTCTATTCAGGTCCTTTGCCCATTTTTATTAGGCTTTTGTCTTTTTGTTGTTGAGTTGTAAGTGTTCTTTAAATGTCTTGTGGACTAGACTCTTATCAGATATATGATTTGCAAAAATGTTCTCCAATTCTATGGCTTGTCTTTTCACTTTTTTGAAAGTGTTTTTTGATACACAAAAGTTTTTAACTTGATAAAATCCAATTTTTATGTTTTGTGTGTGTGGTATGTTTCTTGTAATTTTGGTGTCATATTTAGGAATCTATTGCCAAATCCAAGGTCACTTAGTTTTACTCAATCTTATCTTCTGAGCGTTTTATAGTTTTATCACTTATATTTTGGTCTTTAACCCATTTTGAGTTAATATGAGTTTATGGTATAAGCTGACAGTCAAACTTGCATATGGATATCCTTTTGTCCCAATGCCATTTGTTGAAAAGACTGTTCTTTCCTCATGTTATGGTCTTTGCAACCTTGTTGAAAATCAGTTGACCATAAGTAAATGTATGGGGTTGTTTCAAGACTACCAAGTCTATTCCATAACTCATATGTTTATCCTTATGCCAGTACTACACTGTTTTAATAAATAGCCTCTTAGTAAGTTTTGAAATTGGGAAGTGTGAGTCTTCCAAATTTGTTCTTCCTTTTCAAGATTGTTTTGGCTATTTGCGGTCTCTTAAAATTTTATATGAATTTTAGGATCAACTTGTTCATTTCAGCAAAAAGCAGTTAGAATTTTGATAGCGATCGCATTGAATTTGTAGAGTATTGCCATCTTAATAACATTGTGTGTTCCTCTCCATGAACACAAGATGTTTTTCCACTTATTCAGGTCTTCTTTAGTTTCAACAATGTTTTGTGATTTTCATTGTACAAGTCTTATACACCTCCTTGGTTAAATTTATTTCTAAAGTATTTTATTCTTTTTGATGCTATTATAAATGGAATTTTTAAAAATTTCATTCTCAGATTGTTGCTATATAGAAATATAACTGATTATTGTGTGTTGATCTTGTATCCTACAACTTTGCTGGATTTGTTTATTAACTTTGATAGGGTTTTTCTGTGTGTAAATTGTTTAGAATTTTCTAGATTCAGTGGTACCTTGGTTTTCAAACGTTTCCATTGATGAACATTTCGGTTTACGAACGCCATAAACCCAGAAGTAAATGCTTCTGTTTTCAAACACGCCTCAGAAGTTGAACATGCCACACAGCTTACATTTGAAAACTGAGGTACCACTGTATAAAATTATGCCATCTGTGAACAGAAGTAGTTTTTACTTCTTCCTTTCAAATCTGGATATCTTTGTTTTTATTGCCTAATTACCCTAGCTACAACTTCCAGGATGATGTTGAATGGATGTGGCAAGAAAGCAGACTTTTTCCTGACCTTAAGGGAAAACTTTCAGTCTTTTCCCTTTAAGTATGGTGTTTTTTGTGTATTTTTCATAGATGCCCTTTATCAGCTTGATGAAGTTCCCTTCTTTTCATCTTTGTTGAGTATTTGTATCATGAAAGGTTGTTTGGTTTTATAAAAAAATTTCTACATCAACTGACTTAATCATGTGTGTCCTTTCCTTCATTTAATTAAGTGGTATATTTCGTTGATTGATTTTCATATGTTGAACCACCTTTGCATTTCTGGGGTAAATCCCACATGGTCATGACGTAAATTGTTTTGATATACGGCTGGATTTGGTTTACTATTATTTTGTTGAGAATTTTAGCATCTATGTACATATAGTCTTCTTGTGATGTCTTTTTCTGGCTTTGGTATCAGTAATATTGGCTTCATCGAATGAGTTAGGAAGTGTTCCCTCTTCTATTTATTAGAAAACTTTGNGATATTAATTTGTAGTCTTCTTGTGATGTCTTTTTCTGGCTTTGGTATCAGTAATATTGGCTTCATCGAATGAGTTAGGAAGTGTTCCCTCTTCTATTTATTAGAAAACTTTGGGAAGAATTAGCATTAATTCTTTTTAAATGTTTGGTAGAATTCACCAGTAAAGCCAACTAGTCCTGGGTTTTCTTTGTTGGGAGATTTTTGATTACTAATTAAGTCTCTTGGTATAAGTCTATTTTGATTTTCTGTCTCTTCTCAAGTCAGTTTTGGTGGTTTGTGTATTTCTGGGAATTTGTCAGTTTCATCCAGGTTATATGATTTGTTGACAGATACTTGTTCATAATATTCTCCTATAGTAATTTTTATTTCTGTAAAGCTGATAGTATTGTATATACTTTGATGCCTGACTTTAGTAATTTCATTCTTCTTTCTTTGTTAGTCTAGCTAAATGTTTGTCAATTTTGTTGATCCTTTTAAAGAAACAACTTTTGGTTTTATTGATTCTCTATAGTCTTTCTACTTTCTATGTTGTTTATTTACATTCTAACTTAAAGTATTTCTTTTCTCTGCTTACTTTGGATTTAGTTTGCTCTTTTATTAGGTTTCATAAGGAAGAAAGGTTATTTATCTCAGGTCTGATTTTTCAGTAGTTCTTTACAGCTATAAATTTTTCTCTCAACACTCCATTTATTGCAAATCTTAAGTTTTGGTATGTTGTATTTTCATTTTTATTCATCTCGATATTTTTAAATTTCCCTTGAAATTCTTTGATCTGTTGACTATTTGAGTATATTGTTTTATCCACATATTTGTGAGTTTTCCAAATTTCCTTTTGTTTCTGATTTCTAATTTTATTTCATTGTGATCAAAGAAGATACTTAGTATTATTTCAGTCCTCTAAATTTATTGAAACTTGTTTTATGCCCTAACATGAGTTATCACATGTTCCATGTTCAACTGAGAAGCATGTGTATTCTGTTGTTGTTGGGTAGAATATTCTGTGTGTCTTAGGTCTAGTTGGCTTATAGTGTTGTCAAGTCTTCTAATTCCTGTTTATCTTTTGTTTAGTTTTATTCACTGCTGAAAGTGAAACATTGAAGTTTCCAATTATTGTTGAACTATCCATGGCTCCCTTCTATCAAGTTTTTGCTTCATATAATTCATGGTTCTGTTGGTAGGTATATATATGTTTGTAAATGTTATATCTTGATAGATTTACCCATTTGTTATCATAAAACACTCTTCTTTGTCTCTCATAACAATTTTTGTCTCAAAGTCTATTTTGTCTAATATTTGTACTGGCATTCTAGGTCTCTTTGGTTATTCTTTTCATAGAATACATTTCTCTACTTTCATTTTTAATATATTCGTATCTTTAGTTCTAAAATGAGTCTCTTGTAGTTAGATCACTTTTTAAATTCTTCTAGTTTCTGTCTCTTAATTGAAGAGTTTAATCCATTTATATTTAATGAAATTATTCATGAAAGAATTACTTTGCCAATATTTATTTTGTTTTGTATATGTCATATAGTTTTGTTCCTCAACTCCTTCATTACCTCCTTCTTTTGTGTTAGATAGGTGTTTTGCAAAACATTTTGGCAATTTCTTTAAAAATTAAGCATGCATTTACCATTTGATCCAGTCATTTTATTTCTGCTTGTTTACTCACTACTTAAAAATGCGTAGCCATAGCTCCTTTATGGTTCCATTCATGTGAAATTCTCAAAAGTGCAAACTCATCTGTAGTGGCAGCAGATCAGTACTTACTTCAGAGCAGGGACGGGTGCTAGGAAGTAATTACAAAGGAGTGGGAGGAAACTTATGTCTATGTCAGTTATGTTCATTTTGTTGATTGTTGATGATTTCACAGGTGGTCAGTACGTATTAAGTTATAAACTTTAAGTATATGCAGTTCATTGTGTGTCACTTATTTCTCAATAAAATTATTTTAAAAGTAAAGAAAATTAAGATAATGTGGTGTGTACATACACACACACACAGTTATACGGTAGAATATTTTTCAACCATGAGAAAGAAGGAAATCCTGCCATTTGTGACAACATGGATGGACCTTGTGGACCTTATGCTAACTGTAATAAGCCAGACAGAGGAAGATAAATGTTGCATGTTATTATTTGTATGTGGAATCTTAAGAAAAAAGAAAAGAAACTCACAGAAACAGTGGAAAAGTGGCTGCCAGAGGCTGGGGAGATGGAGGAATAAGAAGAGGTTGGTAAGATGAATAAGGTCTGAGAATCTAATGTAAAATATGATAATTATAATTGATAACACTGTGCTATATAATTGAAATTTGCTAAGAGAGTAGAACTTAAATTTTCTCACATAAATAAATAAATAAAAGGTGGTGATGGATGTGTTAATTAACTAGATGGAAGAAATCTTTTCACATTGTATATGTATATATGTATATCAAATCACTATGATGTACGCTTTAAATATTTTACAATTTTATATGTCAGTTTTACCTCAATAAAGCTGCAAAGAATTTTTTAAAAAGGAGTCTTCATTGTATAGTAAGATTGGAAATAAAATTCTGTAATGTGATAGTCTCTTTAAAAAAAAATGTCTGTGGCAAACAATATCCTAATGGGAAATCTTAGAAGAATTTTTTTTTTAATTGAGGCATGGAACGAGTATATTTATTTTCACCACTCTTTATGTAACATTTTGGAATCATAGCCTGTGCAATAAGAAAATTAAACTGGTAGCAGGATACTTGAGAATGGCAGAAATCAAATATTTGCAGACAATATAAACTTTCATATTAAAAAACTCAGAATCTGTTACTCAATAATTAGAAATAATATGAAATTCTTTTAGCAAGGTTGGCTGGATATAAGATTAATTTACAAAATCAGTTATTCATGCTAACAGCAGAGACAATAAAAAAGGAAGATACTATTTATATTACTTTTAGTGACTACCAGGTGTCTAGAGTTAGTCCTGCCACAAATGTACAAGATCTCTGTAGGACAAATTTTGAAACTTCTCAGAACAGCAGTAAGGAAGAGACAGACTAAATTTGTGCGTTATTTATTTCCAAATTTATCTGTAGATTCTATTTCATTCCAATCAAAATTTCAGAGGTTTTTAAAGTAACTTGGTAAGATGATTTTTAAACTTATATGAGGGCCTACAGGACCAAGAGTAACCATGATACTTCTGAAGAAGAGAAACAGGGAGGGTAGACTACCAGATAAAAGAACTTATCTTGACTTACCAATAATACAGTGTGGTATGGTTTAAAAATAGATAAGTTGACCAATAGAATAGAGAGCCTAGGAACAGTTTTTTTCCTTACATTCTAAATAATTGCTAGGATATATCAGATGAACATATTTAGGTTGTCAACTTTGCTGGGATGAGTGTCAAACTAAAGCATTATAGGCCTTTATACTCTTCTTGAGGAGCATACCTGCAGGTTATGTTCCACTTAAAAGAACTGTGTTCATATAAATGAGAGTTAGAAGTATGTTCTTAGACTTGAAGATTCTACGTAAGTTTCAGGAATTAAAATTTTTTATTTTATTTTATCTTTATTGTTAAAAGTATTACAGATATTCTCCCCTTTTTCCCCCCCATTGATCCTGTCCACCCTGTATTCGCCCCCCCCCCAGCCTTC